CCGAGAGTTTAGACCGCGAGACGTTGAGTTCAGAATTTCCTGTCACAATATACAGTTGCGAACAACATTCAGTAAAACACGCGAATAAAAATAAATAAAGAATTTTACAGTTAACGACTTATTAACATTAATCATGCTATATTGCGATTATGTTTTATGTTGTCATTGAAAAATATATACAAGATGTACAACTAAAAGGGTTACAGATTATTATTTTAAAAAAACTAAGCAAAATATTAAATTGTTGTTTTTTTTAGAAATAATAGTCCGTAACACTTTTAGCTTCATACCTTGTATATACTGTTTATAAGATTATAAGATATATTGTTTATAAGATTAAGATGCGTAACACTACAAAAAAGCGTGATATCCGTACAAAATTACCTTTTAAAAAAAAAAGGTGAAAAAGACGCCAAGTACACGCATAGTAGTGTATATGTATTATGTTGTTACCCTGTTATGTTGTTACCTCGAAAAAAACAATTGGTAGTATTATACCTCCAAATAGCTTTATTCTGTACATACTGTTTATAAAATGCGTAATACTACAAAAAGGCGTGATATCCGTACAAAATTACTTTTTTTTAAAAAAAGGTAAAAAAAGGCGCCAAGTACACGCATAGTAGTGTATATGTTGTTACCTCGAAAAAAAAGAAAGTGGTAGTATTATACCTCGAAAAAACTTAAGTAACAAGTGGTAGACGTAATCTTTATATCTCAAAAAATCTCGAAAAAATCTAAGCAGTAGTATCTTTATTTCTGAAAAATTATAATCCAAGTGATACACATCACAAAATTATGTTACCTTATCAAAAAGAAGAGTCGCGCTTCAAGTGATCTATTACAATTACAAAAAAGAAATGATGTCTCTTTAAATTACAGCGCCAATTACAGAGAGAACATATATATTGGCTCAAGAAATAATTGTTGCACTACTTTGAAAAATCTTTACATTGTGTCAATTAGAAAAGAATGTATGATAACAATTTTATAAGATTAAAAAATTTTATTTGAATTTAACAAGGGAATACAAGATATTTAAATACAAAGTTTACATGTGTATTTTTTAGTGGTCACAAAGAATTACCGAGGTAACAGTACAAAATAAAAATATTTTATTAAAATATTTAATCCAACGAAGGAATACAATTTGTATTTAAATACAAAGTTTATATATGTATTTTTCAATAGAATAAAAGATTTAATCCCAAAGAATTACAGAGGTAACAGTACAAAATAAAAATATTTTATTAAAATACATAAATTTTTCTTGTAAAAAAACTTGGCGCTGCTAGACCTCGAAATTTTAAATAAATAAGGACAACAATAAATAAAAATAATTCAGAGAAAAATGCGATGGGAGTAATATTAAATGATTATCAGCGTGGATGTGCGAGTGAGTGATATGGGTGTGCGTGACAACGCGGACGGCGGATAATGCGGCTTATAATTAAGTATAGGATAAGTTTATTTATTTACGAGGTCTAGCAGCGCCAAGTTTTTTTACAAGAAAATTTTATGTATTTTAATAAAATATTTTTATTTTGTACTGTTACCTCTGTAATTCTTTGGGATTAAATATTTTATTTTATTGAAAAATACATATATAAACTTTGTATTTAAATACAAATTGTATTCCCTCGTTGGATTAAATATTTTAATAAAATATTTTTATTTTGTACTGTTACCTCTGTAATTCTTTGTGACCACTAAAAAATACATATGTAAACTTTGTATTTAAATATCTTGTATT